CAGTGTTTAAACAAACAGCAGATGAGATAGCACAAGCTTTAATTACCCATGTTTTCTCTATCTTTGGAGCACCACAATCATTAATGACGGACCAAGGCAGAGCTTTTGATTCCATACTGTTCCAAGAAATAATGGAACTTTACAACATCAAAAAGCTAAGAACTTCTGCGTTCCATCCAGCTGCAAATGGCAAGGCAGAACGGTGGATTAAAACACTGAAACAACACCTCATGATTTTAGTGGAAAATGACAGGCAAGACTGGCCTAAGTATTTACCTTTTATTACTCAGGCATACAGAAACTTGCCTCACTCCTCACACAAATTCTCACCTTATGAGGTTATGTTTGGAGCTGCTATGAGGACACCACTAGACATGGATAGAGGTCCTCCACCAAAAGAGGAGCCCATGAGCAAACTCTACCCAAATTGGGTTAAAAAAATAAGCAGGATGAGTCAAATTAAAATAAGTGCATTGAAAGTTAAAAAGGACGTTTAGTCCATAAAATAAAATAAATAAGTAACCTGAAACGAAACAACAAAATTAGGATACAAGTAAAACAACAAACAACCAAAGAGAAAAAGAAAAGCACTAACCTCTCGTAAAAGTAGATACGGACAAGTTGGTAAAACATAAAATCAATCTGTAAAAAAAAGAAAGCGTACAGTAAAGGAAAGCAAACAAGGAAAAGGACATAAGACGAAAGAGATTAAGCAAGAAACTCACTACGACGACGGTGATGGGCTCTGCGTACAGCAGCAGGAGCAGCCGCAGCTCCATGAGCGATCTCCTCATCATCTGACACCAGGTCCACGACCAACACAGGTGCAACAGGAGCAACTGGGGCCGGAGCAGGAGGGATGGGCAGATCCAAGACACCCAGCAACCCAACCAGATCATCAAAATGGGGATGAGCAGGATGATCGGGATGCATCAGGGGGTAAACCACTCCAGGCGGGGGCACCTGAGGTACCGCTGGCATAATGAAGTGAGGTCCATTGGGGCCCATATGAGCGATCTGTAGTTGTGTGAGGGCAAGAGTCATAGGATGCTGGAATGAAAATACACAAAATAAACACCCACAAGGTCGACAAAAGGGAGTCAAGGCAAAAAGGGAGGCACTCACCCAGCAAGGCCCAAGACAACAACCGCAAGCGTAGAAACCGTCCTCTTGTAGCATGCCCATAGGCACACGAGTTTCAAAACGAAAGAAGGAAGGATTATAAACCCTCCAAAGGGGATGGATGCTAACCCCTTGATAGCACTCACAACAGATCTGAAAGAAAAACCGAGAAATAAAACTCCCAAGCAAGGCAGAATGGCACCAAGAACAAAGAGAGACGCCCATGAAGGGAGCCGGTTTTATCACTGTAAAAAAATGCAACCCACTATAAAACTTTCACTTACTCGTTTGTCCACATTGTCCTCCACGGTGAAACCAAGGTAAAATTCGACCCAAATCCTGGCAGTCATTTTAGATGAAGAGGAATTGCAGAAAGGGAGCACAACCGGAGCTCAGACTGAAGCGACCGTTACAGGTTTTGGCGGCAAAGCTGACCGTCCTTCTAGAACACGGCAGGAGGGGAAAAAGGAAGGAGTGGGGGTAACCCACTGCGCATGAGCGGCGCGCGGCCGAGTATGAGAATAAAAGACGAACGCCGCCAGAACAGTCTGAACAGGCGGAGAGTGAGCACGGCTAG